TCACTTCTTTTGGACTGATGAACTGCAACACCCACTGACTGCCATTAAACAGCTTGGAAGATCAAAGACCATTTTAATATAACTCCGACTGGATTCGACTGAAAAAAGAAAGTCATATACACCTAGAATGCCTTGAGGGTGAGTAATTCATGGGCTAATTTTCATTTTGGGGTGAACTAACCCTTTAATGTGTCATTTTCCATGCATACAATGTTGAAAAATATGTAAAAAAAACAAACAAACAAAAAAACATAGTATATATGTATTCATTACTATGCACTGTCATATAAGTGCTTATAAATGCTAAAATTAATAAAACAATTAATTAATTTAGATGGGTTTTAGTTCTTACATAAGACATTTTAAATGTACATTAATAGCTGTTTGATTCAAATTAAAGTTCATTTGATTTCAAATAAAATGCTGCATTTGCTTTTATATATCTATATATATATATATATATATATACTGTATATAGATAGATATATTGCCCAGTCCTTTCACATATGGCTTTGAGTTCTGATGTGTACTGATTCATCAAACTCACCAAAATACTGTGTTGGACCTTATTTTGTCCACATTACATACTTTTGTGGTTTGCTTCTTCACTGGAAATCAAAGTATAAAACTGGGCCCAGTAATCTGGTATTGTGTCTTTTTTCTTCCATTGGGTGACAGCAGGTTGCAGAGATTTCGTACTGGGACACCAGTGCCACCATGTGGTGTTCAGTCTTACAGATTCGTGTTTGGTGGTCAGTCTGCTGTGCAAGCACTGGTCAGCAACAGAGCTACAACAATGACACCATTAGAATTCACTGCGGATCATCTATCATGCAGGAGTGGCATTTTCAGGCTGTGTGTGATATTGCCAATGCTTTTTGTTGCATACAATTATGGACTGATGCGTCTCATTAGAAATCTGTGAGTTCAAAGCAAAAAATTCCCGATTAAATTTTCATATTTTAATTAAAGTCACGTTCCAAATCAAAACAAGTATGCATTAGCATGCATATTACTAGCATATTGGCTGTTTATTAGTTCTTATAAAGCACATTTTCTGCATGACCATATTATACATCCTTAATCCTATCCAATACCTAAACTTAACAACTACCTTACTAACCTTTATTAAGCAGTAATCAGGAGTTTATTGAGGCAAAAGTCATAGTTAATTGTTAGTTAATAGTGAGAACTGGACCTTAAAATAAAGTTTTAGGTTTGTTGGGCTTTTAGATACTAAAACAGTAGATGTACTGTTCAAAATGAAGACAAAAGTACCACTTTATAGTTGTGAAACTGTGATGGATCATGTTCTTATTTACTGTAATAAATTACAGTACATCTGTTTGAACTTGAGGAGAACTGACTTCATACTTTCACTAAAAATCATCAGCATGCCAGTTAAATAAAAGTCAATGAACAAAACTGATGAAGAAAAGTGAAGAGAAATGATCTAGCAGCATTTGTGTCCACTTGGTTTAATAGTGTATTATCTAATGCAACAAAGAGTGTTTTTTCCTTTCACTTTGTGGCCACTGTAAACCAAATGCATTTATTTCAAAAGAGGTAAAAGTGATTCTGATTGGAGATTTGCCAGGCAATCCAAATTGCCAAGTCATCCATTGTGAATTAGGAAGTAGTGGTGCATTCTTGGCAGCAAAGCACCTCAAGCTAGGTGTTCCATATACATGAAATGATTTGTGAAGTACAACTGGCCCAAGAGCCGAAGAGAAGTGCTGATGCGTTTCAGATTGGCCGGTAGCTTCTGTAATCACATTCATATTTTAATATCATTGTGTGTGTTTGTGTACGATGTAAAGGCAGGGACGACACGGGGAGTGATTTCCAACTCTTTTATTAACACAAAACCAGGAGAAAAGGGCGAGCACGTGAGACGAGGTTGAGAGGAGCACTGATGGTATCGTGGCTGTAGCTGGGGGCTAAGTGGAGGTCCTGCACTCTCAGGCCATCCATCCACCGGAGAAAGCAAAAAAGCCTCCGGATTCCAGTGGCTAACTGAAAGAGCAGCTTTTAAACAGAGATTTAATAAACTAACATCAAAGCTTTCCTCCCAAGCACCTCAGGGGAGAAGGAGCCAAATTCATTAGAGGCCCACTCAGCTTAGGCAACCCAGATGACAAACTGTTTCACACATTTTTTTCGTGGCACTAAATATAACTTGCCCCACCCTCCCTCACACGTACTTCCTACTCTTTTTCTTTTCATACTAGATGCTTGCTCATTTTATGATACGATGATGCATTTTGGGTGAAAAATACTACCTACTTTACAATTCTACTCTCTTTATTCACTGATTTATGCACTACAGTTCAATCACAGTGTTTGCAAGGCAGCATAATATTGATATTCCTCAATTATTCTGGTCAGAGTTTGAGCGATGCACAACATATTTGTTGATATTATAGGTTTTTACTTTTTTTGGCCTTGATCAATATTGGATATTATTTGTGCATGTTCACTTCTGACAAATGTTTATGTTTAGTTTAAATTTGCCATCGTCTAATGCTCACTTAACGTAAATTTTCAATAGCATTAATAATTTAGTCTTTCCTAGTTTAATTTATAATATGAAGATGATGCCTACATTTACTTGTTGATTTTATTTCAGTGTTTATTTATTGCACAAAATACAATTTTACTATGAATTATTTATTGGTTATTGGTCGTAACATCAAAATAGTTATCAGCATATTGGTATCAGGCAGAAATTTCATATCACTGAATTCCTAATGTTTTAGGAATTCAGTGTCTAAACCTCAAACTTAAGTAGTTCTATAATTTGTTCGGCCCAAACCACTTTTCGTACAGGTACAGAATTTTTTTCTTTTTTAGATCATTTTAAGTCATTTCAGTTTATTTTTATTTATTTACTTATTTTTGCATACTAGATTGCAACTGGTCTTGTCTTCAGTTAAAGTGTGTAAATTCTCCATCATTAGTGTCACCAAATGGAATAGTTTTCAACCAGGTTTCAAGCACTCCAGCACAGATGAATAACCCCACCCTAAACTCACAACATTGGTTGTGCAAAAGTTGATGTGTCGAGCTGGTCTTAATGCTCAAACAACAGAGTCAAACACTGAATCGGAATATGCCTACTTCTGTTCTTGTGGAATACTACTTCTTCCATAGTATGCGAAAACCAGTACACCAAAAGAGTAGTAGGTCCAAATTCATCGTATTTGAAAAACAGCAAGCAAAAAGTACTCAGATTACCTACTTTATCTACCAAGAATCGAGAGTGCACATTGGATGGACTCTCAACTATCCCATGAAGCCGTAGAAGACAAGTTTTGAATGGCAGTGAAGCAATGACATTGATGCTGGTAGGTCAAGTGACAGTAAGAACAAGTGTGAATTTGATTCACACTACCCATGTTCATGATATACAGAACATACTTTTTTAATGGTTGTGAAGTAAGTTTCAAACAAATGTAGTATGCGCATGCATACTGTGCAGTATGTGATTTTGGATGCAGCTAATGTCAGAAATAATTTTAACATCAGAAAAATCATCTTTACTCTTTTATAGCCATATAATGAACTATGCTGATTCCTGTTTACAGGCGGGGGAAAACATGATGTGCTGTGTCATGATGGTGGCAAAACGTAATTTTGTTTACACCAAATCAAAATTAAAACCTTAACCTAAACTTCCTTTGCTGCCTTGCAAACACTGATATTTCCTACCAGAAATGTAAATCTAGGCGTTTTTGTGTTGTTGGGGTGAGCGAGAGGAAAGAGGTGTGCTGTTACTTCTTCCTGGTGGGAGTGGGGGATTTCATGCCGCGGGGTGCTGCAGAGGATTTGGCATTTTGGGGAGGAGCCGGAGACTTGGCCGCAGCAGGGGCAGGGGTGGCAGCCTTGGCAGTGGGAATTACGATGGGAACTGTGGGAGGCATGATCCTCTTGGGTGAGGGTGTGGGTTTGATGTCTGGAATCTTGTCGCCGTGTTTGTACACGCTGACAATGATGTCCACCGACTCGCCGCCGTACTTGTTTAGGACCGTCATGGTGTACTTGCCGGAGTCCTCCAGGGAAACGCCTTTGATGGTGAGGCTGGCGAACTTGCCCGAGTCCATGGCAATGACGTACTGATCACTGAGTTCTAATTCTTGATCGTTCTTAGACCAGCTGACCAGAGGTTTGGGGTCACCGCAGACTGTGCAGGTCAGACTCAGAGTCTGAAGAAAATAAAAACAAATGCATAAACGCATATTTCATCAAAAAGCATCCTCAGTGGAAGTAGGTTGTCATTATCATGCTAAAGGCATAAATATGAGAAACAGCATGACTACATTAAGCAGATGCGCATAATTCTGAATGATAATATGAAATTCTGATGGTGCAATGGCAACTAAAAATCCTATGCATCTGTCTTTAACATTAAGAATAAATGTATAAAATATATTTTTTATTTATATATATACTTGATATTTTACATATATTCAATATTATTTTGACATATATATATATATATATATATATATATTTCATTAATCATATTAATTCAAATTAAGTGAATATAGACAAGTTATCATTCATAAAGTGACCATATCATTTTTTTCTGAAACCCTTTCATTAAAATATTTCCATAAATTAACACATACATAAAGACATTTAAAATGTACTGCAGAACAGGAATTACCCTTTTTATTAATTTGTTGGTCTATACCTTCTTGCTGCATTTCTTCACCTTAAGAATTTTACAGTGAGAAACCAATTTCTGAAGAATGTTTCTAGCCTGTACATGACAGCATGAATCTAATGCTGTTTTTAGATTTATGTTGCTTCTATTTTGCCACAGTTATATTTTTTCCAGTTTACGTGACATATTTCACCGTAATGGATTTCAACAAAGTGACTCGTTTGGGCTTTTTAGGGAGAAGAGCAGCTCAATGAAAACTAAAATATACAGTATGAAGCCCTGCGGTGGGGAGCTCTCAATGGAAAACCAGTGTGTACGTGACCTCTGCAGGTCATCATGTGAAAGGTCTCTCCTCCCACATGAGTTTGCTTTAATGCAGTGGTTTTCAATCCTGGTCCTGGGGACCCATCGCTCTGCACATTTTATATGTCTCTCTCATCTGACACACCCAGTTCAGTTCATGGAGCTCTCTCCTAAAGAGCTGGTGATCTGAATCAGGTGTGTTAAATAAGGAAGACACACAAAATGTGCAGAGGGGTGGGTCCCCAGGACCAGGATTGAAAACCGCTGCTTTAATGGATCTAAGAGCCATTGACCTGCTGTTTATTTGATCTGAAAGAGACAAGGATGCCGGGTGTTTCCAGCATGAACTATTCAGGCGAATCCTAATCCCACCAATATCCTTTCACAGGCAGAATACACCATATTCCCCAAGCTGGCTTCATGCTGCTTGCAAGCAATGGATTATGAAGCCAAAGACAAAGGACATGGATCTTAGGGAGCGGAGGAGTACGACGCCCTCCAGCGAACACTCCCAGGGCTGAAGTGAAAAGCCGCAGAACGGCACGACTGCCTGCGGCAATACAGATCACTAATGCGTTGGCTACAGCTCTCCATGGGTGACTGAAAGGAATGCTCTGGGTGCAATACAAGTTTAGGCCTACTGACAACATTTGAGGCATAATGTTGATTACTACAGAACATAATGTTGATTCATTGCTCAGTTTCTAAAAGCAAACAAAAATCATGGCTAAGGTAAAGAACATTCAATGGATGTCTACGGGGACAATGTTCTGGGGGTTTCTAAACAGAAACGTGAAGTGCATAGTTTGGTCACTTAAGTTTGGGGACTAGTTCTCACAATTAACTAACTATTAGCTATAACTTTTGCCTCAATGAACTCCTAATTTGCTGTTTATTAATAGTTAGTAAGGTAGTTGTTAAGTTTAGGTGTGGGGTAGGATTAAGGGATCTAAAATATGGTCATGCAGAATAAGGCATTAATATTTCCTTCTATGTACTTCCTTCTATGTACCTTCTATGTACTTCCCAATATGCTAGTCATATGCATGCTAATAAGCAACTAGTTAATAGTGAGAACTAGTCCCTAAAGTAAAGTGTTACCCATCGTTTTAATATGGCACTTACAAGAATTATTCAGTAAAAAACTGTTAATTATTTAAATAAATTTTTATTAAGTAGTCTAAATCATCCTTTTGATGATGACTAATTTTCTTCTAGGTAGATTAACTTTGTTTTACAGTAAGGCTTCATAAGTCACCGGAAGTCTGTGGGTCTTTGGGTAAATATCTTGAATTATTCTGTGAAAACTAGTTCATTGTTTGAGCTGTAAAGTTGCTTTTGTTGGACTATCTGTCTATCTATCTGATGAACATGTGCTTGCGTTGGTTACTGATATAATTAGTTAGTAGTTTATTAGTAGATTGCTTCAAGTAAAAGGTCCATTTCAAGCTATTACTGTGCGTGTAATGCAAAACCGAGTTTAGCAGCTTTGTGGTCAAAACATTGTAGATTGGATGCAACCTCATGCCAACACTTACCAAGTTTGGACAGAGTTTGGCAGAGTAAAAGCTTGGACACACTAAGCTGAATTAGTTTCTTAGGATCTTAAAAACCTTTTGATCTAAAGGCTTTTGCTTACATTCCTGAAAATAGGTTTGTAGACAAATATCAATTGTGACAACTTCACAAACCCATTTTTATTGGATGAGTTGGAGCAGATAGCGAGGGAAAAGCAGCCAACAAATGTCCAGCATACATGTGAACACCTGCAAAAGTTGTTTAAAAAGCATCCCAGAATGCACTTCATGAAATTAGTTGAGAGAAAGTCCAGAATAAGCAGAGCTGGAATCTAGACAAAGGGTGATGATTTTGAAGAAGCTCAAATATAAGATTTGGGAATATTTTACAATACATATATATATAGTTTAGTTTAGTTTATTTCATTTATTTAACAGGGACCATGCACAACACAAGTGCCAGAGTTAGCTACAGAGCTAATTTGTATCTGCAGTCCCTGGGCAGGATGTTGTTACAAAATTGCAATATTCCATAACAAGCAATACAATACATACAATATCACATCACACTCCATATAATTATATGTATGTATGTATGTATGTATGTATAGGCATAATTTGTGGTCTTGACATGATTTTCTTCAAAGGGAAGTCAGATCAGAATCCAATTTCAGCTTAAACAAACCTTCTTTTCCATGATAGTTACAACATCAGGAAGACCACCAACCACTTTGCCACGATCTGACAGTGAAAACATCACAAAGTTAATTTTAGGAATATAATTACATATCAAAGCAGGACCCCCAAGAGGGTTGGGAGTGATTGAGTATACTTACTCTTTTCAGCATATGCTTCCACTCTGAAGGGCAAAAGAAGAATAGCATTGTTGAGTTCATTAGCAGACCTTAATATTTTACCCAAACACTGATGTACAGCTCACATGCTTTGCAACTCTAAACATTTAGGATGTGGAAAGCCATGTGCTGTTCTGATGCACTGGTTATCTTACTTGAGTCTCTGGAATTCTGCGTAGGCATTGTTGTATACTACGGGGGGGAAAGGGGGACAGAAAAAAAGAACAAAAGTTAAGAACATATAAAACATGAAGAAAAAAGAAAAAAGGAAAACAGTCTCTCTTGTCCCGGAGGCATGGCATAAAAAGAAAATCAGCTCTCATTATTTTAATAGCATTGTTTTCCTGCTTCGCTGGAAATAGCTCTTCTTCCCCTACTCATTACTGTCAGCATTCGGCAAATCGCATGACCTGTCAGATACCAGCCCTTGATTATGTTTGTCATCAAACAGTCTGTTGACTAACTGAAACCGCTGCCAGTATCTGCACCTTTGATGCTATGACAGCATTTTTTCATCCCTGGATTTCCCTAAATACATCTCCTGTGTGTGCAGCTGCAACAGTGGCCTTTATAATTATAATTATAAACACATCTACACGGCATCAATTCCAGAACACGTGTTTGGGTTGACCATCTTTGTTATAACTCTTTTTTCCTGAGTGGAAAAAGCCTTTAAAATAGACGAAAACATGACAGTCTTGCCATCACCTTCAACATTGATGTGTTTTTCTCATTAATGCTGATTCTGGTAGGGAGGTTAAAAGTATCTGAGCTGTTGTTGAAGTATTTCACTTGATGCTCAATTAAGTTCAAATGTAATTGGGTTGTTTTTTTGCAATACTCCCATTCAGGCATCATACATTTTTCATATATTTTCCCCCCTGAGGTCCAATTATAATGTTTAGTAAAGGTTGTTTTATGCTAACAGTTAATAACTTAGTTTGCTGTGACTACTCACAACCCTCTCTCTGACCATTAAAATTAAATGAGGAAGTTTTTTTTTTGTTGCTGGTTGTTAAATTTATTTAATAAAATTAGGTACATGAAATGACACAATTGCTAAACATTTTGTTTCTACTTAATTTAATTGTGTTCAATCTAAATATGTAAAACTGATGTTTACTTAATTTGGTTGGTACTATCAAAAATTTTTGTATCATAAACTGAAACAAGGCAGTGGCTTTTTATTTCCCAGCATGTTTTGCATATGGGTTGGATCAGAAGAGTACATTTTGAAAGTGTTAAGATGTTGACTTGAAGTGTTTTTGAGTAAAGGGAAAGACCTGGTAGTGTTCAATGATCAGTTACGTTTTTTGTGGTTACCATTGAGCTGAAGCGTGGAGCTGGTCACACTTTATTTTAAGGTCCAATTCTCAAGATTAACAAACCATTAACTATGAATTTTGCCTCAATAAACTCCTAATTTGCTGCTTATTAATAGTTGGTAAGGTAGTTGTTAAGTTTAGGTATGGGGCAGCATTAGGGATGTAGAATATGGTCATGCAGAATAAGTGCTTTATAAGTACTAATAAACAGCCAATACTGTATGTTAATAACAACCTGATCTCATAAAAATACGTACCTCAGGGTACTTTTCTGCAACACCGTTTTTACGAACCTTAATGCACGTTTCGCCGCAGTTTCAAAGAGAAATGTCCACTGAGTGGCACTAAAACATGAGTTCAATACGTGAACCCTGGCACGTTTTTATTACGTTGATATAGGTACGTATTGCTGTTTTTATTACGTTGCTTCAGGTACATACAGGTACTGCGGCGGCTCAGAATTCAAATATCCGCAGACTGTCGCTAAAAGTTAATACTCTATCATGTTGGAAATATGCCCTACACCAAACCCAACCCTAAACCTACCCGATAGTGTTAACAAATGCAAAACTGATATAAAAACACATTTGTTGATGCAACCGTGCTATTTGAACTTCCTTATATGCAGATTTGAGCCGTTTTGTCGAACCGTAGTTACACGGGATTCGAACTTGATCTCCTCACCTTTCAACTACGTCTCCGTACTTCCTGAGCTACCGAACAAACCTACCGTCTATGAAAACACATAGATATGAAGATGGATATGTGTGATGCTAACATTCAAAGCATATTAAATATGCATATTAAAATTGTTTAGAAGTCATAATATAATATTCTTCAAGTAATTGTGCGAAAATTACGCTTTATTAATCAAAACTCCGTAAATTTGTGTGAACAGGAATAAAAGGTGTTGGAGTTATACTGCCTCTAGTGTTCATTTCTTTTGGAAACTGCAGTGATATGTACTTATTGGTACGTATTTCGCGTCTCGCGAAAAAGTGCCCCCAGGTACGTTTTTGCCATGAGACCAGGTAGGTTAATAATAGGCATGCTAATAAGCAACTAGTTAATAGTGAGAATTGGTCCCTATACTAAAGTGTTACCGTGGAGCTTGTAGTTAAGGTTGTGGGTGGCTACATTCATTAAGTTTATAGTGTATTTTTCTCCATTCAAAGAGCAATAATTGCATTAACATCAATGCAGTGACGAGTAACTTCCTACTGAAAAAATCAAGTGTTCGTATTACTCACATTTTATAAGTAACAAGTTGTGTAACGTATTGCTGAATGTTAATTAGACTTTACCTAAATTATTTTAGTGTGTCATAGCTGGTAAATTTAGGTGCTTTTCAGTCAACACATGGGAATAATTCTACCCAAACAAATTGAGTGCAAATTGCTACCTCAGTTTTGTTGAGTATAGTCTATAGATTTGTTTTTACAACTCACGTTCTCCGGAGAGGTCAAGGGTACGAGAATGCGTCTTCTCGGGATCCACAATCTCAATAGTGTACATTCCTTTATCCTTATCAGTCGTTTCGACTATCTCCAAAGTTGCCATTGCTGGGTTGCCACCAATTCTCATCCTTTCTGATGCACTGATTTTAGAATCCCTTGAAGTACAAAGAGTAAATGAATGCAAAGAAACCCATTAATATCTGTTCATCACTGAGAAAATGATAAAACCAATACGATCACAAGCATGCTTTTAACATGTTACACCGAAGGCCTGTTTAATCCCAATCCCTTGTTAAGCTCAATTGTTTGCTCATTTTCCATAGAGTAAATGCTTTCAAAACATTAGACATGCCTTTTTTTTTTTTTAAAGTGGGGCATCAAATTAGCATGTCCCTAGTGTAAAATTAGACACGGCGGGTGTTTTTTTTTTTTTGTGCCACGACTGAATGTGAAATTTCCCCCGCATTAATACCTGCTTTGCGTGTGATTCAAAACGTGCAACAGGGTGAGGAAAGACCCAGAATAGCCACTTCAAAATGCTAATACAGGGATTTGAGAAGCCATGGGAGCAGGAAGAGGCTTTTCTCACTGCGTTAGAATTTCACATGCTACTGAATCACCTCCAGGGCAGAGCATTAGGCAACTGCAATCAGAATGATTTGTTTTGTGTCGACAACAGAGCAAGGAACAAGACAGACTCTTTATTCCTGTAAATTCCTGTAGTTCAATAATCATTTATTTTGTACACCTCACACTAAAGCAACACAAAACTATAGACCAAAATCTGAAAACCATGTTTACATGTAGAGTCGTTGTCATGCCTGGGGACATGAAGAGGCATGTGCATTTCATTTGCAAGTGTATTTGTGTATCTTTTTTTTATTCTAGGAAATCGTTTCAAGGGAGAGTGGAAAATGTGCATACTTTTGTTTCCAATGGATCTTCATCTCCTCGGTGTAATATTTCATATGGCACTGAAGCATAATGCCCTCCGCAGTGCACTGAATCGACAACTCAGAGGCGCTGGATCCTGTCCAGGTCCAAAAAAGAAGGAAAGAGATCTTAAAATTCACCAACATTGCTGTGATTCACCATGTGTTAAAGCTGAGATTCTTTGCTATTTATGCAAAGATTTTCAAAATGCCCTCCGCAGTGCACTGAATTGACAACTCGGAGGCGCTGGATCCTGTCCAGGTCCAAAAAAGAAGGAAAGAGATCTTAAAATTCACCAACATTGCTGTGATTCACCATGTGTTAAAGCTGAGATTCTTTGCTATTTATGCAAAGATTTTCAAGTAGGCACCCAGCGACAAGGAACAACTGTTTTTCTCTTCAAAATGATCCTTATACTGTTTTCATGTTATTGTTTTTTGGAATAAAGATTAAGAATTATTTTAGTATACTGGACACTGAAGTGGGTAGAAGTGCAATGAATTGTGTGTAAACAAATTTGTGAATCTGACTAAACATATTTTACCTTAAAATCATAAGTAATTGTAATTCGAAAAATAATATTCATCAATTCTCCAAAACACTGTCCTATGTAGGGATTTTATAGCCTATCCAAGCATCTCAGGGCGAAGACAGGGAAACACCCCGGATGGATGGAGTCCTCAAAAAATGATATATATTATTTAAGTTATTGTTATGTATTTTACCAGTCAAAAGTTTGGACACACTTGACTGAATTTATGCTTCTAACGCTCTTTGTGAATAAACAGCTTATGCTTATAAAAGCTTAAAATTGGCTTTATATAATTGTAATAGTATTTTTATCTACTTTGTACATTAATTTTTATTTGATGGATTTACTATTAAGCTTATGCGCTTTTTTTAATCTGGATATGTTTTCAGAAGAATCACTTAAACACCACATCAACAAGGCATGCTTTTTAGCAAAAGAGTATCAGAGTCTCCCTTCGTTTACAGTCATACAATTCATCACTAAGATCCTGACTGCTCCAGCGCAGCACTAAAAATGAACTATGGGAAACCATAAAAAGTTCATAATTGAAATTCTGGTTCATTTTAAGTTAAATGACCAGATTTAGAGTCCACGGATAGAGAAGATGAGAGAGGGGTGGAAGACGGTTGATTTAAAATCAGCTGATGTTGACACAAGGAAAGACATGCTGGCTTTGGAGAGCCAAATGACGAGCACGATGATACATGTTATACACACCAGAGATATGACTGAGCTCGTTAATGATGTCATCAAAAGCTGTGGGCGAGAAAAAGACATCTGTAATACATGTTTTATGGAACATTTTCCAGCACACATTTACAGTTTTCTATATTTGATAAGACAATCCTGAGAGACGGTACCTTTGCCAGAAACATCAATCTGTGACACATCTTGGCCTCTGTCATCAGTGATGGTTGCTTTATATAGTCCCACATCCTTCTTGGAAAACTACAATATCAGGATAAACAATTTAAGAAAAAAAATAAAAATAAAATACAGCATCTCACAAAAACAGGCCACCTGAGTGATGCTTTTTTTAGAGCGTTACTGTCAGAATAGGTTTTTTGCTACATTGTTTTGGGAGTAAATTATAGGTATTTCATATAGTTTTGTAAAAATAATCCTGACAAAAAATGTCAAAGAATAACCAGCATTACAAAAAATTACAATGGCACTGAATTGATTGAGACCATTGGTTTCAATCCCTGGGAGTCAAAAACTCTTAAGGTTATTTCTCATGTGAATTGTTCTTATGGTAGTTCTCACAAGATGTCAGGAGCGATTACAACAAATACACTATAATTTTGTCATGCGTCAAGCTTCTTTGTATTTATGGAAGTTGCACAAGCTGTTTTACTTTGTAACTGGGAAGAAAATCGACTGAAACAAAAACAGAGCAATTACCCATAACAGTCCAGCAGGGATTATTTGTCTTTTTACTGAAATAACCGTAGCTATGGCACTTAGCGTTGAGCATGCTTCAGTGCACTTTTGATCAATTTTAAACTTTGATTATGGAAAACACAAACACAAACGACTGTTATTGACTAAACTAGTGATCATGAACCCATAAATGGGTCACAGGTCCGTTCTGTTCTCTGGACATGATGGGGAAAAAAAACTATTGTAAATGCTACTAATAAATTGCAATTAGCCATATAAATGTGTATAGAATCACAATATTAAGAGACCACGAATAGTAAAACATTCAAGGGAAGTAGATAAAGCTTCCCCTCATATTTAGTTGTTGACATCAAAAGGCTGTGCATCAAACTCGTTTTTTTAAAGTAAATTCACTAATGCTAATGGATAATACTAATACAATCTAGCCCAGTGTTTTTAGATCACTGTTATACAAAGTTATGTCATGAAACTCTAGATGGTGCAGGCTGATAGGTTCTAACTCAGTCTGATAGAATCTCATCATTGGTTTCTTTTCACATCAGCAGCCAATGAGCTTGCTGCTCAACATTCAAATACTTGGCTAGTGCTTGCTGTAGCAGTTGCAGCACGCTTAAAATGACCCTCCACCTTCCCCAGCTCCACCTGTATAGATCTGCTAGGGGGTCATTTCATGTATGTTATATATGGATGTTGTTTCATATATGTTAAATGTGCAGCAGCAGTATTTCCTACATGCTCACAGCAGCATGTCTGTGGATGTATTAGCAGTAGCAAGTCTGTTCCGCCAAGACAAAACACATAAACATTGTTATGTCTCTCCGAGAGTTGTCATGACAGAAGTATTCACTGGAAATATTAAATAACCTGGAATATTATATTTTAGGTGAACTACTCTTTTAATATATTTCAATGTGTGATTTTAAGGCTTTTTGGTTAACTTTTGTATGATAAGCAATTTTGGCACAGTTAAAAACCACTTTGTTAAACTATCTTTTAGCTCTCGTGTTTATGGAATGAAGTGCTCACATTAGTAAGGGGGAACTTGCAGACTCCTGAGCTCAAGTCGGCAGGCACCTCAGGAATCACCTCTACATCGTCCTTATACCACTGGAACACAGAGTCCTTCTTCAAATTAGCCACCTGAAGGGGGTCAGACATGCAAGAAAATGCCAATATATCATCAGTCAGTCAAAGACATTCAGTTTGCTTTGGCTAAATCATTCCCATTCAACTTGCCTTGCAAACAAGAGTGACAGAGGCATTATCCCCAATTTGAGTGGACAGGAACTCCATAAAGTGAGGGCCTGAAAAAAATGAATTACAAAACTCGAAGAATCAGTGAGCAACCCTACTGCTAAAAAAATAAGCCAGCCTAAGTGGCTTGCTAGTCTCACAGTCTGCCCAAGATGGTTTTTATCTGTTTTAGCTGGGAGGTAAAGTGACAAAACTTGGAACCTTTTCTAAATCTACTAGTCAGAAAAAAGAATATACTACATAATACAGTGTAAAAGAGAGACTGGCATATTATTAACAATCTATGGAAGCAAGTCCTACAAAAAAAAAAAAAAAAAAAATGAGGGAAATGACAGAATTTTCATTTTAGGCTGAACTATTCATGTAAGCCATTTTTCAGCAGGAAACCAATAAGAGATTTTGTAGATAATGCAAAGCTTGTTTATAAAAAAGTAATACCAAGAATGGATTACAAAACCACAGGGTCTAATTCGCTCTATCTGAAGTTTATTTAAACAGCTACATCAACAGGATGAGTGCAGTACCCTCTTTCACACGAATGTACTCCCTCCTTTGATATTCCGCCTCAGCCAGCGCTGCCTTGAAGGCTGGAAAAGGAAAATAAAGCAGGAACTATAAGAGGTCAGTGAGTAGAGTTCAACAGAGGAGCACAGTATCTCAAGATGAGAGCTGCAGAAGCCCTAGAGCGATGCTGGCTCTCACCGTCTCCGATCAGCACCAGAGAGGACTGGGCCTTGGCTCTGCCATCTTGGATCTGCACGGTGAAAGTGCCCTCGCTGTCGTCAGTGAAATGATCCATCACCATCTCAATAATGCCCGTAGCTGCATCGTGACTCATTTTAGTTTGCTGTGAAAAAGCCAGAGAGGTAAACATTTCTCTCCTGGGTTTTTCTTAGGAGGCTCACGCAAATAGAACAGAAAAACATAACAGATGGTAGTATTGCAATGGAGCTGTTTATTTGGATTGGTTATGTTTTCTTGCACAGCAAAGGTTGGAGCTAAGCTTAAAGTGATAGTTCACTGAGAATGACAATTCTGTAATGCAATACCAGTCCATGCTGGTCTTTTCATTTCAATGAGAGGGATGCACCAATATTTAATTGCTGGCTGATATCGAAAAGCAGATAATTATGTTATGTCTGATATCCAGTTAAACCGATTAAAATTCAATACTAAAAAAAAAACACACTAAAAGCTAAAATCACACAATTATAATGTACAGTACACAAATTCATATTTAATTTTAGATATGTTATTGGTTACATTTAACAAGCAACTATTAAATTATTGGTGTTTGTGAAGATTTGTGACAAAGGATATTAGAATATATAATTAAATATACTATATGTGACCCTGGATCACAAAACCAGTCATAAGGGTCAATTTTTCGAAATTCAGATCATCTGAATAGATAAGCTTTCCATTGATGTGTGTGTGGTTTGTTAGGAAAGGACAATAGTTGGCCGAGATACAACTATTTGAATATCTGGAATCTGAGGGTGCAAAAAAAAATCTAAATATTGAGAAAATCGCGTTTAAAGTTGTCCGAATGAAGTTCTTAGCAATGCATATTACTGATCAAAAATTACGTTTTGATATATTTACAGTAGGACATTTACAAAATATCTTTATTGAGTATGATCTTTACTTAATATCCTAATGATTTTTGGCATAAAAGAAAAATAAATAATTTTGACCCATACAATTTATTTTTGGCTATTGCTACAAATATACCCCTGCAACTTAAGACTGGTTTTGTGCTCCAGGGTCACATATTGGTCGATATATATCTAAAATAATCTGATAACCAATATAATACTAATATTTAGCATATCCCTAGAGACCACTTGCTGTCAAGTTATATTGTCAGTACATAATGACTTAGAAAATAGTAATTCACATTCAGAAGTCACATGGACCCTGTTTATGGTGCTTTTATTGTGCTGTTAAACATCTTCTTTTATGTTCCACAAAAGAAAGAAAGTCATATGGGGTTTGGAAGAACCTGAGAATGAGTAAATAATGACAGAATTAAAAATTTTGGGGTGAATTATCCCTTTAATATAGAACTCCCTGCTTACTGTTTATGAACTAATGAAGACATGTGGTTGCCTGTACCATTTTATTTGCAGTTGTTTACCTCACAGTTGACAAGCTCCTTGTTATTGGCAAAGAATTTGTAGGTCACAGCAGAGGAGATGCCCTCAGCTTGCAGCCAAAAGCGCATACGGCCTCTCTCTAGAATCTTATAGGCCAGTTCAGTCTTCAGAGGAATAACTGCGACACAAGAGTCACGCGTGACAATCTGACATGTTGTCTTGTGTGTTGTCACCGTTCATTCGCATGACCTTAGACTTGTGAAATAGCACATGCCGATCCTATATAAAAAGTTGATTTTAAGCAATAAGTCTTGTCGCATGTTACAGTGAATTCATCATGGTTAAATGGTATTTTCAGGCACAGTGTGAAGCCAAATCCATTTAACTTTGGAAAAATCACTGCAATAGCCTCAAGTGTTTTATAAAACTATAGTAATTTGAAAAAAAGACACTAATGTTTAATAAATAGTATAATACATCATGGCATATAGTTTATTACTGTAGGGCCATTTATGGTTGCCAAGCAACGTAGCAACTAGGCAGATAAAAATTCAGGGTTCCCATACTTGAATATTCCCATCTATAACTTTTATAGATAAAATCATAGATCAGTTGTCTTGTGTGTTGTCACCGTTCATTCGCATGACCTTAGACTTGTGAAATAGCACATGCCGATCCTATATAAAAAGTTGATTTTAAGCAATAAGTCTTGTCGCATGTTACAGTGAATTCATCATGGTTAAATGGTATTTTCAGGCACAGTGTGAAGCCAAATCCATTTAACTTTGGAAAAATCACTGCAATAGCCTCAAGTGTTTTATAAAACTATAGTAATTTGAAAAAAAGACACTAATGTTTAATAAATAGTATAATACATCATGGCATATAGTTTATTACTGTAGGGCCATTTATGGTTGCCAAGCAACGTAGCAACTAGGCAGATAAAAATTCAGGGTTCCCATACTTGAATATTCCCATCTATAACTTTTATAGATAAAATCATAGATCAGTGATCGATTTTTGCACTCACAAAAAAGTCATTTTTAGCCAAATAAATATTTCAGAGCAAAGAATAATTAGACAAAAATGTATATGCACTATAGAAATGTTGTAGACACTTCACAATAAGATTTTATACATTCCAGGAAAAAGATATTAATGAGATGGATAAGTGATAAGACTCCGACTATATCTGGATGGCACAAGATTTTAATGGAACTAATCCCATTGGAATATTTAACATGTTTAGTTAATGGTCAGCCGGGTCAGTTTTATAATGTCTGGAAGCCTTATATCAATAATCTAGGGATTGATTTGTCAACTATCCTGTTGAAGAGTTTTCCTATTCATTTACCCCAAGTGAGTGCATAAGATTTTGAACTTGTATTGTACTACCAATATGTATTTAGTGTGGTTATCCATTTAATTTGAGTATCTAATTTTTCTTTTCCTTTTTAGTGGCCTAGGATAAGTCTGCTTATTCTTATTTTGCAGACTCACCCATTTTTTTATTTTATTTTATTTTTTATTCTGTATTTATTATTATTATTATTTATTTTTTAAATAAATGTTTATTTAAAGTTGGATGTGGTTTGTTTAAGTTGGAAAATGTTCAATAAATATATTAAAAAAAAATATATATATATATATATTTTTTTTTTTTCCATTGATGTGTGTGTGGTTTGTTAGGAAAGGACAATAGTTGGCCGAGATACAACTATTTGAATATCTGGAATCTGAGGGTGCAAAAAAAAATCTAAATATTGAGAAAATCGCGTTTAAAGTTGTCCGAATGAAGTTCTTAGCAATGCATATTACTGATCAAAAATTACGTTTTGATATATTTACAGTAGGACATTTACAAAATATCTTTATGGAGTATGATCTTTACTTAATATCCTAATGATTTTTGGCATAAAAGAAAAATAAATAATTTTGACCCATACAATTTATTTTTGGCTATTGCTACAAATATACCCCTGCAACTTAAGACTGGTTTTGTGCTCCAGGGTCACATATTGGTCGATATATATCTAAAATAATCTGATAACCAATATAATACTAATATTTAGCATATCCCTAGAGACCACTTGCTGTCAAGTTATATTGTCAGTACATAATGACTTAGAAAATAGTAATTCACATTCAGAAGTCACATGGACCCTGTTTATGGTGCTTTTATTGTGCTGTTAAACATCTTCTTTTATGTTCCACAAAAGAAAGAAAGTCATATGGGGTTTGGAAGAACCTGAGAATGAGTAAATAATGACAGAATTAAAAATTTTGGGGTGAATTATCCCTTTAATATAGAACTCCCTGCTTACTGTTTATGAACTAATGAAGACATGTGGTTGCCTGTACCATTTTATTTGCAGTTGTTTACCTCACAGTTGACAAGCTCCTTGTTATTGGCAAAGAATTTGTAGGTCACAGCAGAGGAGATGCCCTCAGCTTGCAGCCAAAAGCGCATACGGCCTCTCTCTAGAATCTTATAGGCCAGTTCAGTCTTCAGAGGAATAACTGCGACACAAGAGTCACGCGTGACAATCTGACATGTTGTCTTGTGTGTTGTCACCGTTCATTCGCATGACCTTAGACTTGTGAAATAGCACATGCCGATCCTATATAAAAAGTTGATTTTAAGCAATAAGTCTTGTCGCATGTTACAGTGAATTCATCATGGTTAAATGGTATTTTCAGGCACAGTGTGAAGCCAAATCCATTTAACTTTGGAAAAATCACTGCAATAGCCTCAAGTGTTTTATAAAACTATAGTAATTTGAAAAAAAGACACTAATGTTTAATAAATAGTATAATACATCATGGCATATAGTTTATTACTGTAGGGCCATTTATGGTTGCCAAGCAACGTAGCAACTAGGCAGATTAAAATTCAGGGTTCCCATACTTGAATATTCCCATCTATAACTTTTATAGATAAAATCATAGATCAGTGATCGATTTTTGCACTCACAAAAAAGTCATTTTTAGCCAAATAAATATTTCAGAGCAAAGAATAATTAGACAAAAATGTATATGCACTATAGAAATGTTGTAGACACTTCACAATAAGATTTTATACATTCCAGGAAAAAGATATTAATGAGATGGATAAGTGATAAGACTCCGACTATATCTGGATGGCACAAGATTTTAATGGAACTAATCCCATTGGAATATTTAACGTGTTTAGTTAATGGTCAGCCGGGTCAGTTTTATAATGTCTGGAAGCCTTATATCAATAATCTAGGGATTGATTTGTCAACTATCCTGTTGAAGAGTTTTCCTATTCATTTACCCCAAGTGAGTGCATAAGATTTTGAACTTGTATTGTACTACCAATATGTATTTAGTGTGGTTATCCATTTAATTTGAGTATCTAATTTTTCTTTTCCTTTTTAGTGGCCTAGGATAAGTCTGCTTATTCTTATTTTGCAGACTCACCCATTTTTTTATTTTATTTTATTTTTTATTCTGTATTTATTATTATTATTATTTATTTTTTAAATAAATGTTTATTTAAAGTTGGATGTGGTTTGTTTAAGTTGGAAAATGTTCAATAAATATATTAATAAAAAACAAAAAACAAGATTTTATACATTAACATTAGTTAAAGCTGCAGTTCGTAACTTTTTTTGTGTTAAAAATTTATATAATAAGCGAGTACACCATGAATCCATTTTCCAAATCGTGTTTTTGGCTTGTGCTGAATCACTACGGTACACCTATAATAAGTGTTTCTATTCGGACTATTTAGACTGGTTCGGGTAGGTACCGCTGCGGAGTAGCCCAGTACCTGCGTGATTTGCCATAGACATAAACAGAGAGAAGTAGCTCCGGCTACAATGTTCTTCCGCAAGACGCACGCAGTTCTGTTTATTACGCAATACGCAATCATGCAATAGATAATACTTGCATTTTTAACATTCCAAGTAGTTTAACAATAATTATGAATTAACATGCATCAAATAATGTTAACAAATTAATTGTGAAATGTTACAATCATTTCCATGACCTTTTATGATTTTCTTGAATTCCATGACTTTTACAAACCAGGAATATTTCCAAGACTGTGGGACCCTGATTATACTGTTCAATTAAAGTGTCGAGTATGCATGTTGAACATGGTTCGTGTTCAATCTCTACTATGCAGGGTCACTTACTTGGGTTGCGTATGTCATAGCTGAGGGCCAGCATCTTCTCCAGCTCTAAAGTAGAGAACAGAAGCAACTATCATTTTTTTATCAACTATCATCATTATCAACAATTTCAAGGCGATCACAACACAAATCTTTATTATTATTATTAAGGATCTTTGACATATATTATATTATGGCAGCAGTGTTGGGGGTAACGCATTACAAGTAACGCGAGTTACGTAATCAGATTACTTTTTGTAACTAGTAAAGTAACGCATAACGAGTTACTTTTTCAACGCCAGTTACTTTTTTCCCCCCATTTATTGACTGAAAGCTCTCCTGTCCCTTTGTTGAGAGAAATTGGGAGTAAGATGTTACTTTAGTTCTAGAATAGGCTTTTATATTTGCCAAAAATATAACTTTTTTATATTAAAAGCAAACAAGCAAGCCCAGCTCAGATTTAAAAAGTAACGCAAAAGTAACGTAACGCATTACGTTCAATAAAAAGTAACTAAGTAACGTAATTAGTTACTTTTTTAGGAAGTAACGCAATATTGTAATGCATTACTTTTAAAAGTAACTTTCCCCAACACTGTATGGCAGCTATTTCACAGAAAACAATGTGATATCCATAATACAGATCAACATGCAGACAAGTATCTGATATCTGAATTAACTATGATTCAAATCTGTCAGTGGAATGTTTTGTAGTGTCTGGTACACTATAATTTTGAGGAAGGGCATTAATAATGAAGGTGATAGTCATAATATATTAACAGGCCTCACCTTCTGCTAAGATCTTGTAGCTGGCGGAGGCACCATCAGTATGTGTAACAGACACAGAGTATGTGCCCAAATCCTCTTTGTCTGGGTTCTTAAAAAGCAAAGTTGAGCTACAGAAGCAAATGAGCAAACATTAGTGTCTGTTCGGTGGGACAACAAAAAGAAAACAAACGGAATTGAATATGCACAGACTGTGGCATTGCCCTAAATATGCTTTGAGCGGATATGTATCTGGTCCAGATCTAGTTAGGACACATCGTATGCGTGTTTTTCTTACTGGCTGCCTGATGTCTTGACAACGATTCCCTTAGAGAAGTCTGTAATTTCTTGGTAGGACTTCTTCCACGCAAACTTTGATTTCTCCATCATTTGGCAGCTCTCAAAAGAGAGATAAATGTCACCTGATTCCTCATCGACGCCACATTTGATTTCCTGGGTGCCTTCAACATAACAGAAGTGGAGAAGAATTTGCAAACAAGTAGACAAGATGTGCAGACTACAAAACAGGTACTGTAGGATATGCCGGATTTATAGGACACAGTGGGATTATTGGTCAGTACTATTCCCTATGATTAGAGAAAGTTGGGAGACACACTATTAATTATTTTCCGATTTAAATTAATATTATATTCGGTATCGCTCTCGCTCTCGTACTCGAGTGATATTGCTCATATACTAATTTATATGTTTAATTACTAATATGGATATTTTCATTTGATCTTAATATTAATTAGATGATATTTCGCTCCTCTGAAGATCTAAAATGGACTACAAATGTCACATGTAAAAACGTCCCGCTGATGACATTTAACACCACTGACGTCAAATGCCATTGGTTTCAATGTGTCTTGTAACCAAATGTCATTGAAATCAAACCTGATGCAGCACCATATTTCATTTTCAGTAAAAAATCAGCTTGCATTTCGATCTGCCACACAAAGCTATAATACGGTTTCAGAAGACTTATTATATATTTTATTAAGGATTACATATATAATATTGTGCACCACTTTTATATGTCTCATTTTGTGGCTTTACAAACCCAGTTTTAATTCATTTGGTAACACTTTACAATAAGGTTCATTAGTTAACATTAGTTAACATGAACTAAGCATGAACAGCATTTATTAATCTTAATTCATGTTAATTTAAACTTTTACTAATGCATTATTAAAATCAAAAGTTGTGCTTGTTAACATTAGTTAATGCACTGTGAATTAACCTGGACTAACAATGAACAACTGTATTAAGTGTATCATTAACTAACATTAACAAAGACGAATAAATACTGTAATAAATGTATTGTTCATTGTTTGTTCATGTTAGTTAATACATTAACTAACATTAACTAATGGAACCTTACCATTCATTTTCATTATTTGGAAAGTGGCCAGGATATTCTGGAAATTCACTTTTTCCACACAGCAAATAATACTATTCCAGAATAAATTTAAGCCAAGAAAATTATTTTCATTTTAAATTATTATTATTAGGTGAATTATTGCTGTAAACTGTAAAAAGTGGTGATTTTTTTTTTTTTACCTATTTTTACACCAAATACACCTATTTTTAACTATTTTTACCTGATTTAATGCATAAAGATTAGTTTTATTAATTAGTTGGTATAAATTAATGTATTTAGATGGATTCAGTTATGTTAAATAATATTTTTTTATTTGAATAAAACCAGTTACTTTAGTTGCTACCATTTTTTGGGTTTCCATTTTTTCAGGTTAGTAGTATAAAAGCATAATGAAATGAATAAAACAAATTAAATTAAATTAAATTAAAAAAATTAAATAAAATTAAATAAAAAAATTAAATTAAATAAATTGAAAAAAAATTAAATTAAATTAAATTAAAAAAATAAAGTAAAGTAAAGTAAAGTAAAGTAAAGTAAAGTAAAGTAAAATAAAATAAACATGCAAGGTGTGAAGTAGTTTGCGAATGATTGGTGCAGTTCTGCAGGCGCAGATTCGATGTGGCCCTGATGATGACCAATCAGCCTACACAGGGCTTCCCTTCTCAGTTGTGCTGTAAAGAGAGCATCTCATACAACATCACACACACACACATTATATAAACAGACAAATCCACAGTGCACTCTACTGGCTGATGGCGTTTTATCAGCCCCAAAACCTTTCAGGCTGCTCAGGATTAATCATCTTGGATCATCCCGTTCTCCTTATCTGCGAATGTGCAGGCAGCTGCTCCCCAAGACACTTCAGAACTCCTCCCATGGTGCCATCCACACTGCCCTGCACAGCTGTGAACTCCTCTCATTTCATCCAAAATAAATATCCCTTCTTTTGAACGCACTGATATTCAGCTATTCTGGATTATGGGTGGTTTTGTAAGTACTTAAAGACTATATGAATTTAAAACTGAATGCAACTTCTGGTTTACTGTGCACAATTCCAAAAAAAAACCCATCTTCATACTCTAGTAATAACCACCTCTGAAATGCAACTATTCTCCCAACCGATATTCCCATATAGGGTCATGGAGATGCTGGAGACTATCACATCATCTCTAGCCAAAGGCACGCTGGATGGATGAAAAACGTCACCAAGCCAATGAGGTCTATACAATATCTGAATAAAGCTATCTGTTCTTCGGCTGGCACAAGACCCTCAGAAGTATGTGAACTGAAATCTGCCATCTTTGCTCACAGGCACTCAGTTCTGGGCACGGATGTTTTTGAGCCATACATGTCATGTGACTAATTCTTCATCACCCTGGTGCTGCAGGAAAATGATGTCCCGACAAAGCTGATTGGCTGACTAGTCACTATCCTGAGCTGTGACATCAAAGACAGCAGACATTGTCCATTTCCAGCCCATTTCATGCTTTTAACAGCCTTCAAGGAAAAAAGATCAGTAGAAAAACATCTATATTCAAAATAAATAAATTAAAATAATAAAAGAAAAATGATTTTGTCAGAATACACAGCATTTTTTTTTTAAAAGCAGTCAATTGAGAAAAACTGGATTTACTGCATCTACCATGAAAGGCTAGTTGGGTCATGCTAATAAGCTAAAATCTTGACCCCTTCCAAACACATAGCTCTATTCTGATGTGCAATGATTTCCCCAGTATTTTTCTTGTTAAAAATCCTGTTTCATGTATAAATGAATCACATTACAGAAGTAAAATGGGGGCTGCAAAAAGCATTTCATATCGACTTGGAACAAAATTCCCCTTGAGGCAGTGGTTCTCCACAAGTTTAAAGGGGTCATATGATGCGATTTCAAGTTTTCCTTTCTCTTTGGATTGTCTCATTAATTGTGATCCCTAAACTCAAATTGCACAAAAATGCTTTTCACGCAAGTCCATTCAATGCGCATACATGCTCTAGTTTTTATTTTTCCATTCATATATGTACAAGTATTCATATATATACAAGTATTTCCTTAAAGGTCCCCTGAAATGCTTAGAAACATGCAGCGTTACTCTATGTGTTGACATCATTTTAACTGAAACAGGAAGACAGGGTGGGACATATCAAGCAGCCCCGCCCCTTTTTAAAATAGCCAATAGCGTTCGTTTATATCACAGCTTGGGCTAGAGCCGTTCAGAGCCGTTGAGCTCCGTAAAGCCGCATTTGACAGGGTATGCCAGCCACAATCTCATCCATATTGCTGTAAAATATAGCATTCTGTGTAGAATTCAAATAGCTCCGATACATTTTGTGGTCTGCGCCGACTCGCGCATGTGATCCACTCCGTGCTATTGTGCCTCTGGTCCGGAGCAGAGTGTGTGTGCGGTGCGGTGATTAGCGTGACACAGCGCAAAACCAGACTTCTTTTTTTCCTCAATGGAAAGCATATTTACACTGTTTGAATCGTTCCCTGTCTAAATGCGAATTTTGTCACTGTTTTGGAGCACACTTCCTTATAGATCAGTGGTTTTCAACCTGTGGGGCGCGCCCCCCCAGGGGGGCGTGAGCATCAATTAATTCAGAGACGTTCCCTTGAGAATTTATGAATATGAGTTAACAAATCTTTAGCCATCCACTAGGGGGCAATC